TATATAGAGAATACAAAATTCCCTCAAAGAGATCTAACCATACACGTGCAAGAAAATGGCTCAATCTATGCAAACAACTGGCACAAAATATCAGAAAATATTTACTGATACACCGGTGGTCGGCCAGCCATCAGTGATGGCCGGCAGGGGCTCATTGATGGCCGGTAGGCCAAGATCCATGGCCGGTAGGCCAAGATCCATGGCCGGCAGTGCCCAAATACGGCCGGTAGGCCATCAACAACATCATGTTGAAAGGACCTAAACACGGTCCAAAAATGAGACAGAATTGATGTAGGGTTTGGAAAACTCAAACATGTGGCGTTCCACCGTGAACTTCGAGCACTCGACGAGCAATCAAACTCATCACTGGATATACTTGAAAGAACATCCAAGTCTTGAGGACGGTCAAAAATGGGATGTCTACAGCTATGGAACTCCAGACAATATGATAGTCAATTCAAACAAAGGAATGCAATTAAGGCAAACGTCATGCCTTTCATAACAGAATCTTCCCCAAAGAAAGGTACAGAAGAAATGAAGGCAAGGGAAACACCTTCAATTGACGTAGTGTGGACATTGCATTGTGATGGGGCCTCCAACACCAAAGGTGCAGGAATAGGATTCATGCTAGTCATGCCCAACAAAGTGGCAATAGAATTCTCTACTCAGTTAGGCTTTTCAGCCACCAATAATGAATATGATTACGAAGCTCTCATCAATGGTCTCAACACCACTAATTCCATAAGTGTTTAGTTTGACTCACAGTTGGTCGTCAAATAGATGAACGAAGAATACGTCGCACGGGACGAACGATTGATGAAATATTTGGCAATGACCAAAGCCGTAGGCAGACAATTTTCTTCCTTTGAGATTTAGCAAATAGGGTGGGACTGGAATAGTCATGCCGATGCATTAGCTAGCTTGGCTAAGGCAATTGAGCAAACAAAATGACGAGTAATCGAGGTCAGGACAATATCTTCCTCTAGCATCATAAGGGAGAGCTTTTGCCACATCCAGCAAAGTGAAAGCTGGATGACCCCTCTCGTCCGATATTTGTCTAACGAGGTACTACCAACCAACAAAAAAGAGGCCCATCAGATTCGGCTCCAGGCTATGCGCTTCTGGCTGAACGATTCGAAACAATTATTTAGAAGATCTTATTCTAGTCCCTATCTCAAGTGCAGTCACCCTTATGAGGTAATAAGCATACTGGAAGAAATACAGGTAGGATCATGTGGGGCTCACGCCAGGGGGCAGATCACTAGCACATCGAGCTCTTATCCAAGGGTATTAGTGGCCCCATATGCAGCATAATGCCCCACAATTCGTACAACGATGTTTGGCATGCCGTAGGTATGCTCTGATCATATGACAACCGTTCGAAGAACTTAATCCCATTACTAGTCCTTGGTCATTCGCACAATGGGGATTAGATCTGGTAAGACCATTACCTCAAGCACCAAGAAATATGAAGTGGCTGATCATAGCAACTAATTATTTCACAAAATGGATTGAGGTCGAACCTCTGGCTAGTATCAGGGATACTGATATCGGGCAATTTTTGTGGTGCAACATCATTACCAGGTTCAAAATTCCAAGAGCACTCGTGTCTGATAACGACACACAATTTGATTGTCGGATGTACAAGGATTTATGTAACCAGTATGAAATCAAGGCTTACTATTCTACCTTGGCTTATCCCCAGAGCAACAGACATGCAGAGGCCTTGAATAAACCTATCTTGAATGGGATTAAGAATTGGTTAAAAGCATCAAAAGGGCGATGGGCCGAGGAGTTCCTGATAGTTCTCGGGTCTTATCGAACTACACCTCATCATGCAACCAACGAAACACTATTCTCTCTCACTTTCAGGATACAGGCAGTCATTCCTCTGGAAACTGATTTCCGAACTGGATGATCTTATTTAGTGGAAGCCAGCACAAACGAGGACTTGGTTTCAAAGAAGCTTGACCTTGCAGAAGAGAAACGCGAATAAGCATTAGTCAGGTTAGCAAGATAACAACAGGAAATAGCTCGGGTATACAATAAGCAAGTCAAGTATCGGCGGTACGTGATCGACGAACTAGTTTTAAAGAAGGTCCTCCCAAACGAATGCAAAACTCCTGATGGGAAACTTAGGCTAAACCACATCAAATCACTGATCTGGCCGAGGAAAGAGCATATGAAATTGCCGATTAACGGGGGAATGTACTCCCAAGGCCATGGAATGCCATGCATTTAAGAAAGTATTACCATTAACCTTGTAGCAATTATGTGATAAAGCTTAGATATAAAGCGTAATGAATAAACAAGGTTGCATTATATATTTCTAAAAGATACAATTCCTGGTACATTGAGATTTTACAACTAACAAACACCAAAAAAAATAAAAAAATAAAAAGACAAAAATAAAAAACAACAACAACAATAACAACTACAAATGGGGAAGGAAAACAAAAATGAACAACCATGGATTCACCAAGATCTTTGCAAACTATCTAATTCAGGGGAAATTAGGACTTCAGGATTCGGGAGTGGAACTTAGGAATATAAATTAGATGATTCAGCTACTCCCAGCTTTTTCATTTTTGCTCTCCAACCCTCCTTGAAAAAGAAATTCTTCAATTTATTCATCTGTTCAAGATAGGCGGTGTTCGCTTCATTCCATATGGATTCAGCATTCGCTTTTAGCTCTATATTGTGCTGGCTCTTCATTGCTTCCATGGCAATCTTGAGAGCTTCATGATACGACCCTAATCTGTCAAGCAAACAAAGTGTGCGCTCGAGCAAACTTGACCAACTCGCAATGCTTTTGCAGTCTTTATAGACAGCTCAACTGACCAAGTGTACGCTCGAGCAAACCCTCTGTATAATGTTGGACCACTTGAGCAACCAAGTATTGGCTCTAGCGCAAATTTGACCCATCCAATACTTTCGCAGACCTCTATGACCACTCAAGCAACAAGTAGTTGGCTTGAGCGAAGATCCCTATTTCTGCATATTTTGACAAGTCTTTATGTGTTCATATCTTCGTTCTCATGTTCTGTGGAGCATTTTTAAGTATGAATTGTGACTCAATAAGGAACTAATAAATGAGAAACCCATAGGAATAAGTGAATTAGAAAGAGATGATGAATTATATGATTCGATCTATGTGTTCCAATGTGTGTACCCATGTGTAATGTGTAGGTCTGAACATTGTGGAAGGACACTCAAGGTGAGTAATGTCTTTGTAATGGTATTTTAGCATGAAATACTTTGAAAGTAGTTTTACTAAGCAATCAATTATGAAACCTACACTTTGTTTAAGCAATGAGATACGATTCAAGGTTTTTGAACAAGTAATTTGAGACACTAAGCTATGCTCTAAAACTCCGAATTGTGTAAAATGAGATAAGCTTTCCGAAAATGTGATTTGACAAGAATGAATGAGTTTTCTTTTGAACGATGACGTGAAAATGTGCTTTAACCATTCGATAACCACTATTTTTTCTATGAGCCGCAAATGACGTTCTGTAAAAGTTAATAAACCGTTGTGAATATTATGTATGATGTCAATCTTGAAGATTGTTCTATATGACTTCAATGGTAATCATTATGTTCGGAATCTACACGTATAAGATGTTATGTATGAGCTCATTAAGTATAAGTCATCAAGTGATGTTCTTCATTCTGTATATGGCATCAAAGTGATGTTCTGCATTCTGTATAAGCCATCATTGTGATGTTCTGCATTCCATATGAGAAGCCATCCATGTGATGTTCTGCATTCCGTATAAGTCATCAATGTGATGTTCCGTACGAGTCACCAATATGGGTGCTCCGATTGAAGTCATTCAATATGAATGTTTTGTATGGTATTTCGGCAAGTAAAATAAGGCCTTCGAGCACTTTGCAATTTGAAAACTAATGAAAAGTTTGGTAACTATAATTATTGTTACATGTTTTCAAAATAAGCTTCAGTTATGACAAGAACCTTTTGAACTACTCTGATAAGTTATGGAACTCATTCATTAAACCCCTTTACTTAGAGATTACTCATTAGGCTTCTAGCTCACTCTGTTTGTATACATGTCTGTAGGTGAGCAATGGGATGTCCAGCCCTAGCCTTAATGAGACTGTAAAAGGTTACCAAGATTTTAGAGTCAGCCAAGGTTGCCTCACGCGGTTACCGAGATTTTGGAGTCAGCCAAGGTTTCCTCACGCATGAGGCTTTTGTTTTGATTTTCTTTTGTTTACTTTTGATGGTCATGTAAGACTAGGTCTGTATATAAACCTTTGTTTTTGGTTTGCCAGCTTCTGAACTGTCCTGGACATGTATAATCTTTTATGTTCTATTGGGTGTGAGATATAACATTTATGTTTTGATCATGTCATGTATGCACAGCTCAATGGACAAGTTTTTATATTCTGCTTCCTCTTGTAGCCCCGTATATTGTATCATAAATTCTATTAATTTTGTTTTTGAGGCTAGATAATCTGAGATTACTGGCCGATTACAGTCTAAACCCGTAGGGCCGGATTTGGGTCGTGACAGAGTGGTATCAAAGCACGAGTTATATCTCACACATGTGTCCATTTGAGCAATAAGAGTTTGTAGAACGGAATCAAGGATTGCATTCAACTGTTAAATGTGAATTTATTTGATAAGTGTTATGTATGAAATCATCTGTTAAGTATATGATTAATTGTGCACCCAAGATATGTGAAATATGAATATGAGAATATGTGCCTATGTGCAAATATGCCTATGTGTATCTGTATATACTTTTGTATTTGTCATCATCCGGGTTTATATAGAACATGGTAAGAACTAGGGCGGATGAGCTAGAAGAATCTTCCACAGGACAACTTGACAGATTGGAAAGAATGGTACAACAAATGGCTAAATCTTAAAACAATAACAACAACAATCGGTACAATAAGAACCTCCGCCACCGCCCATGCAAGAACATCCAGCGGATGATTGAACTATTGCATTGACAAAAGAATTTAAGAAAATGAAACCATCACTGTTCCATGGAGGAGTTGACCCTTTGAAAGCCGCGGCATGGGTTCTCGGCATTGAAAAATTGTTTGAAGTCTTCCCGTGCACCGAAGCACAAAAAGTTCTGCTAACCGCATTTACCTTAGAGGATGATGCTAGAAGATGGTGGATGGTGATCTAAGAAGAAAATAGAAACATTAATTGGGCTAAATTCTAGAAATCTTCTATGAAAAATAATTTCCGCAATGTGTCTGAGATCAGAAAGTTTCTAAATTTGAAGGGTTAAAACAAGGCAACCGAACAGTGGCTGAATATGAATCTCAGTTTACCGAATTGGCAAGATTTGTTCCTTACATGGTTGATACTGATTATAAGAAGGCAAGAAAATTTGAAGGAGGACTCCGGAACTCAATCCAAGAGAAAGTTAATGTGTTGAAACTAACAAAATGGGTAGATGTTTTAGACCGAGCATTGATGTCTGAAGCTAAGATGAATCAAAATTCTGAATGGAAGGGAAAAAAGCAAGACTCTGATGTGAATAAAGAATCTTCGAGAAATAAGAAATCGAAATCAAAGACATTAAGCCAAGATGAACTCGCTCAAAGAAACAACTCCGCATCAACTTGTCTAGAATGTGGGAAAAAGCACCGAGAAATTTGTTACCGAATTTCTGGAGCCTGTTATAGGTGTGATAGGAAGGGCCATACAGTAAGAAATTGTCCTCATATGGGATAGAATGTGAATAGATCAACTGCTAGCTCGGCCGGATCAGTACCAACGATGAGGCCTCCTATGATAAGAGAGAATGCTAATCAAAGGAAAGTATTTGAACTCATCCCAGAAAATACTCAGAACACTAGAACTGCTATCCCAGGTACCTTTTGCTATTTATAAACAAATGCCCATGTGTTGATTGATTCTGGACTCGTACATGTACACAACTTTGCTTGGGATGTTATTTGATTTGGTTTGATACATTCTTTTATATCTGCTACATGTGTATGTAGATTGGTTAGACCCACAGGATCAATACCTTATTTATTGTATGTGTCTTCTCTATTTGGGGAATTTGTGAAATTCGCATTGGGGATATTAATCGACTCTGTACATATATATATATATATATAAACCTATGCTCAGGATGATTTGTTATATCACTGTCTTTATTGACTGAACCACTAGGACTATGACTCTGTGATTGTGTGACTAAGTTAGGCACTCTAAATAATGAACTCAATAATCTGTGAGACTCTGTACTTTGATTGTTAAAAATCGATTGGACTATTTGACTAGACTAGATTGGTAAACCTATACTTTTGTGATTGTATGACTAATTCGAAACTTCTACATAATGAACACTATATTACGTGCTTCCGAGAAACTTTATATGATACATACCTCTTGATACGAACAACTGCATGCCTATGCACCTACATATGAACTTATTTGGACAATGCCATATTGTACTTGACCTGAAACACTTTTTGATATAAACCATTGTGATGTATGACTCTGATATGACTTTGAGAATTGGTGAACTTAGAACAATTGTGAAACTATTGACAATATACCTAGGCGAATGGAATGTTACCTACATAACCAAATGTACCCTATTTGAGAATGACTGATATAACTTTTATCTAATTTGATCTAATAGAACCTTTGTTTGGTTAACCTGATGGGACCTTTGTTTGATTTAATTTGACAAGACCTTTGCCTAATTTGAGAACCGTTATCTGACTTGATATCACTTATGGAGATTATGAATTGTTCATGAACGAATGACCAGATTATTCTTGACATGAAAATTGATAGACCCAAAACTTGAATTTGTTTTGAAAACTTGACTTATTTAGAAGACTTTACATGGACTGCCGATAGACTACATGACTACAAATAGTATCTGAATGTGACCTATGACCAACCAGAATATGTATTATATGAGAGAATAGTTGCTTCAGTATTGTCGGATGTCGCAATCCATGCTATGCGAATTGTTGACCACAAACTATTTTGATGATGAACACTATTGGGAGTGGAAAACCTTGACTATCTGAAAGTGTGTGAATTCAATATGCTTTGTGATTGGCTGCTCAGTGTCATCGCATTCTGTAATTGGAGCTATGGGGATATGTGAATTATGTATAAATGTGATTGACTGCTTTGATATTACCTTTGCTACTATGGTTCATAAACCTGAAAGACTTGAATGATTATGATGGATCACTGAACTGAATGAACGAGTTGAACTGTAAACTGTTGAATAACTGGGAAACGAATCGAACTTCTGTGATAAAGGTGGATGGATCAAATTTTAGTGATAGGGTTTATGAGAAAGAATCCGCCTACTAAAAAGGGAGAATGTTATGAGACCAAAGTATTTGATATGTTTCTGATGCAAGGTATTTTGAGTCATTTCTGACATAAGGTAGTGTAAGTTTAGAGGACCAAACTTTTTAAAGGGGGAAGACTGTAATGACCTCAACACACATATCATGATTATAATTATTTTATTATGTGTTATTTATTAATTGTGATATGCGCCATGTGATTAATTTGAGTGTATTTGTTTAATTTGGAAATTATCTATTGATCGTAGGAAAATTTGTTATGATTTCTGCTCTAAATCTGAAATTGAAGGCCTTAATGGCGCCAAGAACCAAAATTGAGTATGTGATTAAACTAATTGGAAATTTTAGAACCTAATGGTAAGTTTGATAAAAAAATAAAAAATTGATTCAAATAAATTAATTAAGTTGTGTTTAATTGGTCTAATGTGCTAATTGTTGTATTAAGCCACTCCAACTATATATATATTGAGCCTTAAGCTCATTGGAGCTCAACTCTTCTTCATTTTAAGCTCCCAAAATATGATTATACATTGTAAGAGGAAGAGTTGTCATCTAGAGATTGAAGGATTAGCTTTGATTTGGTCAAAGTTTGTGCAAGAACAAGTGTGTTTGAAGCCTCTAGGTGAGATTTACCTCTCAATTCTTGAAGATGATGTGTTCTACAGTTGTGCACATTATATATGACAATTTGAGTAGACACCACATTTTGACCGCTCTTAAGACTTGGGCGCTTCACTCTAAACACTCGATCATGAAATATTGTGATATGCAATTTCTAATCTTCAACAAAAGAATTCAGTTTTGAGATTCTAATCCCATCCTTACACCTCATTTTGACCAAGCTGTTTTAGACCCTTAAAAATTCCTCTTTTTAAAATAGGACCCGACTGTGGGTATCTTGGGCCTGGCCATGGGTGTTTAGGCCCGGCCCGCTCTCAGTTGCAACAGGACCAGGCAGACCACTTTTTTGGACCGGCCGTACAACTCATTGGCTAGCCGGCCGGCCGACCATGTTTAGCGTAATAGATATTTTGACAGCTGCCAATTGCTCTCATGCATATGCTTTGGACCAACCTTTCCTTTGCAGATATTTATGACGTGAGAAGTGGTTTTCTCTAAATACCACAACCCTCCTCATGGTTTGGGATTAGAAAAATTTGCCAAGAGTCTATAGCTTGCACAACCATTTTCTCTACGCTCTTGCAATATACATACACTATAGATACACGCTATAAGCTTGAACTTGAAGCCTTTTGCTGAGATTTTAAATTCAATTTTAGCTCCCTGAGAGTGTTTAGCTTGTGGTATGTGAACTAAGAAATTCTTCCTCTTCAAGACGTAAACTTTGAACTTTTTTTCACCATCTTTTCTCTCTCTTTTTCTTGTCTTTACATACTAATTTCAGAACTATTTTAAGCTTAAAAATGTGATTAAAACTTTGTCACAAGTGAGTGAGCTAGCCACCCTTTCATTGGCTAGCTCACTAGTTGTGTACCTCTTTGTTTTCTTTCATGTTTTTTGCTTTCTTTTCACTTCATTTGGTTAAATTTCAGTATATTTTCAGCACTATTTTTATCTTGTTTTTATGTGGTATGACTTAAATATGGGCTTATAAAAGGGTCCTAGTCCTTCCCACCACTTGTGCGCTTACTTCTTACGCTTTGAATATCATATTTATGTTATTGTAAGTCCTCTCAGATTTAGCGTGTTTAGGATATAGCGGCCAATCCATAGAGTTGATCGTTTTTACCTTGTTATAGCTTAACTTGGAACCTTCTGGTCATGGGAGGATTAGAGCTTAGGCTTAGCCACCCCACCGCAAGTTTGCTTATCTAGTGTAAATTTATCGCTTTCATGTTATTGTTGTCCACCTTGAAGCTAGGTAATAGCTTCTGAGGTCAAAGTGTTGAAAAACTCTCTTATCGATCATTTTCGAAACATGGAAATGGGTGTCTCATCCTTGTTCCATGACAAAGAGGAGTTGTCAACAACTTTGACGAGTTGTGTGTTTTAGCTTTGATAGATAGTTTGTTTCTTGTTTTTTTCCTTATTTGCTTTGTTGCTCCTAGAGAGCTCCTTCTTGAAAATGTTGAAAACTCTCTCCTAGTTCCACTTTGAAGCATAGAAATGGAGGTTTCATCCTTATTCCATGAGTAGGGAGATGAGTTGACAACACTTTTTGAGTTGTTACTTTTGTTCGTTTTATTCACTCTATGATCATCACACACTATCTAAGTGATGTTTGATGATTTGTGGAGCACTTCTGCCTCTTCCTTGAATAATTTCATGATAGGAAGGAGGTAAGAAGAATAGCATTTTTGGTGTCTAGCTAAGCCTTGTCCTTTTACTCTTAAGATCATCATGCAAGCAAACTTGCTATGGTTGATGATTTGAGAAGCAAACCTCCAGCCTCCTTGAAAATCCTCATGACAGGAGGAAGCAAGAAGGATGACCAGCTTTTGGCAACCCTCTATCTTGCACTGTTCCAGTTTTGCAGCAACAAGGTATTCTTCAGAAACAGTGGTCAGCCAGCCATTATTCTGTACGACCGACCGCATGACCATATTTCATTAGAGCCGGCCGATTCTCATTGTGGTTCAGCCGAGCTTCAGAGTGTACAAATAGTAGATCTTGAGGCCCAAAACGAAGTCATCTTCAGACTATGAACAGAGCAACTTCAGCTAGTGAACAGTGGGGGTTTCTGGAGGATGTTCTTGCTCATGTGCATGTAATTCCCGGCCGCTCATTCAAGTCCATTAGATTAGCTTCGAGATTCATATTATGTAATTAATTAGTTGCTTTCATTCAAACTTGTAATAATTAATTAGTTCACTCATTCAGATTTGTAATAGTTAGTTAATTAGGCCATTTGGACCCTCTTGTGCGAGGGCAAATTTGTAACATTTGATGTATGTCTTCCAATCCCCATTTTGGGTGGGGATGGTCTACAAGCCCTACCCTACCTCTCAAAGGCAAGATGCAAGTGTTTGGTGCAAAACCAGACACTAAACGGTCGAGTTCAGGGATCCTAAGGCAAGGCGCGCGAGCCGAGACCTCCGGGAACTCCAAACGAACACAAACAAGGATAATCACCGAGTGTTCAAATGGTGACGTCCAAGTCTTGAGGACGGTCAAAAATGGGGTGTCTACAATTTGGTTAAATTTCAGTATGTTTTCAGCACTATTTTTATCTTGTTTTTATGTGGTATGACTTAAATATGGGCTTATAAAAGGGTCCTAATCCTCCCCACCACTTGTGCGCTTACTTCTTACGCTTTGAATATCATATTTATGTTATTGTAAGTCCTCTCGGATTTAGCGTGTTTAGGATATAGCGGCCAATCCATAGAGTTGATCGTTTTTACCTTGTTATAGCTTAACTTG